GAGTCTAATTGCATTGTCATTAATAACCGCGTTCCCTTAGGGTGGTGTTGTTGCCTACTACGTCTTAGCCGAGGCAAAACTTGATCCGTCGATGGTGAGTTGGGCGATAAATCTGGCGTCTCCACTCACATCTCCGGGCAGGTTGACCTTTACCAGACATACCTTCTTGTCTCATTTTAGTGGTTGCACTGGGTGTTCATTTGTTGCGAATATATGACCGTATTTACAAGTTCTGGCGTAGTGTACCCCTGGACCATAGCTATGAGCATGTGGCATTTCTTTCCACAACTGGAGGTAGTTCGGATCAGCAAGCGAGCGTTGTTGCACATATATCAGCATCCATTCCACGGATGCTTAGATCGGCGACTTATTCTTCAGGTGTGGGGTGGGGAAGACCACCCTACCAGTGAATCGGGCACTCCACCTGCAGTCTGGCTCTCCTGTGACCATAACAGCATCTTGTCTGCCTGCATCTTGCGCCTTGGAGATTAGTTCGCCAGCGGATTGATGATGGTCGTGCTGCAGTCATTGCATGCTCGTCGGGTCGACTTGCGTTTTTGTCACAGTCCTGCCATCCGACGCTGTTCAGTACCCAAAATCGAGCAGGCTGTGTCAATTGTATTACAATTGCATGCGTTCTTCCTGTCTACCTTTGTTTGAATTGCGTCTAAGTGGGACATCGTTGAAACGCTCCTACATTTTGTCCGTGGTTGCGTGGTGCCCCGTGATGCCTGCGGTGTGCTTAGTGGAAGCGAGAGTTGGCGTTTTGCGGAAACGCAGTGAGAGAAGTCATTTCGATAGAGATGTTTGATGCAGGATAAATGGTCTCACGAAGCTAGCAGCGGATGAAGATGAGCTGACTGCACCTCATCGTCCTTCTAATGCCAAGGTACTTTACCCCATTGTATCGCCAATGTCGTCTCCGTTTCGTGCCTTTGCATCACAGGGTGGATTCGACGATGTTTTGAAGAGTGGATGCACTGTGAGCAGTTGCACAAAGCGCAATGTTGGTGGAGATGACTGTAGTGTCCCGAGACTCCCACCGGATTGAAGAAGACATAAGGTAGGGCTGAATGCACGTATTCCGATGAAGGCCAGCCCACGCGCACAAGGGTCAGACGGATCTTAAAGTGACCGCCAGACATCAGGTGGCCGCATAAACAAGGCACTGCACTGACGCTCTCTTCTTTGAGCCATGCTTCGACGCTCCTCTCGGTGCACCTCCCGCGTCAGCCATCACAACATATTCGGTACTGCAAGAAAGCACCCACAAGCCGGCCGTGCCAATCAACAGCTACCACAAGACTGAGGAACAGTACTTCGTCCCCTCGGCAGCTCCAATTGGACGCTCAGTCCGACAGCCAGACGCGCAGCTGCATACATCTCCTAACTATCAATTGCTTCCAGCATTAGACGGTGGAACTCTGGTCTAAAACCGAGGTGTTGCTGGGAGAACGGCATCAGACACTGTCCCGTGTGTAAGGCGAATTGCCGTGTCATTTCTGACACCATGCACGAAGTCAGTAGGGCAAATCCGACAATAAACTTTCCTGGACGTTTCACGGTGATACCGTTTCCGATGCTTTAGAATGGCGCTTTCAGAAATCAATAAATAATTCTCCATTTTTGATACAGTGATGTTCCACATGCCGCAACACTTTTGTTCTGAGAGAAACCTTTCATACACACATAATCCACCCCAACGCTGTGGTGCCAGGTGGTGTGGCGTGGCGTGTGTAAGCAATGGTAGTGAAGAGTGAAGGTGGCTAGTGGTACGTTGGATGTCGAGGCACAGCAATTGAAGTTTGAGTGACCTCTACAGCGTGGTTTAAAGATGGGAATCACATTCCAGGATGAGGGTGTGGACATTAGAAGTGCCCACACAGTCCATCTAACGCTGTGGAGGAGGAGGAGGAGGCTTCACTTGCTTGACCTGAAGGTTATTTGTGTTGATGGTTTGCTTCTTTAGCATCTGCTACAGACTGCTCGACTTGGCTAAGGCGATTCTCTACCTCATCGATCAGCTCGTACTTGACTCGCCAATCCATCTCTATGGAGCTGGCTAAGTCGGCACGACTGCCCGCTGGTCTGTCATTTGACGGATTGGGCTTCTCATTTTGTGCCAAAGATAGTCTGCTAGTTGAAGATATAGAGAATGAGGAGGCGGAGGATGAAGATGCGCAGTAGCTAGTAGAGGCGACAAAAACGTCAGTGACTGTGGATAGGCCGACTAAAATGGTGGTGAAAAAATTGACGAATGCGGCAACACTGCAGTATCAACAGGTGAGGTCTGGGAAGACCTTGCTTCTGTCAATGACTCCTACGAATTGTAGTGTTTAAGGCTTCGAAGAAGACCATACTTAATGCCTCCGAGAGCTGCTACTCCATCACTACGCGGGACCTTGGACACCGCGTCCCATACTGTTGCACACTTAGCGGAATTACGCCATTTGTTTGGCTCTGACCACGAAACTACCCACTTTAGTTCTTGTGCAACCCTCTGCACACCATTTCATTTGGGCTTGAGTCACAACGCATTCTCATTTAGACATTCGCCAGTGGCGACATAGTGGACATCTTCACCGTCTCCAACTTCAACGGATCATACATCATGCACTTGAGTTGAGTCGGAAGTGTGGTAAGCTCCTCGTTGTCAGTCCTTCACGAGAAGAGTAGTCGCACCTGGAATCGAGACGAACACCAGACAGTGCTCGTGTTACACAAGAGATCGTTATGCAGACTATTCCTACCAATCTTGTGCCAGCTGCAGATCTTCTCTGACCCTTGCAAACATGCCTGAAGACATTTGGACCAAAGGCTTTTGTCCTTGGTCGGCACTGAGAGGCAGGGGCAAGAATGCTGTTTTGGACGGATTGCTTTTACAGGACAACCGAGGCATAGAAGCAGCACATGCGTTTTTCGGATGAAGGTGGTGACGGTGATAGTGGAGGTCAGTGCATTGGATACATCTTCGACTGTCGTTGGTCGGATTGCAATGAATCAACAGAGGTGGGCTGTCAAAGTGGGTAATCTAGTATTCCGGAGGCGTTGCTCTCGAAAAGTGAAGTCTCAAATGCAGAGAAATGGGGCGATTGAGATTAAGGTGCTGACAACGAGTGGGAGAAAACGC